TAGCCGCCAGTGGGCAGGGAGCCGGGGCCAGCACGACAGTCACCCTGCAGCCCAGGGCTGTCGGCCCCCGGACGGATGCTCAGATCACGTTGAGGGGGGCCGCCCCCGGGTGACAGCGAGTGCCCAGTCTCCTGCCGGAAAGTGCTGCTGAAGTCAGACCACAGGGCCGCTCCGAGGGGGGCGGGGTCGCATGGCAGGCGCGGTAGCAGTGTTGGCCAAGGCTAGAAGAAGGGGCGAGTCGTCAGTGAATCCCAGGGCAGCGCAAGCAGGGACCGCTGGTTCAGAGGGTTATAGAGTCCTTAACCCACGGATCTTTCTAAAGTGTCAACCAATCACTTTGTAACCCTGATTAAGCTTGTTCTGTAGCTTCCCTTCTTGGGATAAAGTCCATACTTGTCAGTGCAGAACAGCAACAAGGAGGAGTTTTGGAAGGAGAGCGAGAGAGAGGGAGAGTTTAAGCACAACTTAGTAAAGGTTCGATTCACTTTTGTCAGCTGCCCAAGCACTTACACCCAATCTGTGCTCTAGCCCACGGAAAGACAGAGCTCAGGTTTGCCTTTCAAGTTACTTTAATCACACAGGGAAAAAAGGGACTTACAAGTCACCGATGGGATGAGTAGCACAGAGCATCCTATGCTGACCCTGCGACGGGGAGTGCAGTCCGCAAGGGCGAGAGGGAGGCTGAGTGCGGGGTGTCTATGAGGTATAGGCTGTGAGCCAGAGATGAGCTCCTCCAAGATCTTAGAGTACGATGGTGGCGGTGGTCACAAGATGACCCATGCCAAATGAGGAGGAAAAGTCCATCCCGTGATCCTAGAATACAGAGGTCGGAGCTAGCTGCTGACAATGGAGCATCAAAGACAGCTGAGCATAGGGCGGTCTGGGCGAGGAGGAGTCAGTGTGCAAACCTGACAGAGAGGTCTCAGATGCAGCGAGGTGGGATCTGGCCCAAGCGGAGGACAGAGCGAGCTGGGCTCAGGCTCCTCTTTTTATGTCTAATTTTGACAGGCTCATGGTGACTTGACAAAACAGAATATTTTCACATGAAAGTCTATGGGATTTGGGTCAGAACAAAGTGGGATATTTTTGCCAGTCATGAGGAGGGGTGAAGCATAGACCATGCTTATGTCCCTCATGTTATCGGTCAGCATATGGCTAGTCTGCTATCAGCGATAAGCACTAGGGTGTTGGCTGAATGTCGAATTTCCAGGAACATGACTAATGTCCGGCTGAATATACTGCAAAATGGAGTCAGGTATGCTCTCAGCAAGCAGTGTTACAATCAAACATTTTCTTCACAGCAAACTACTAACTTAGCCATTAAACAGTATATCAAGTGTAACAATTCTTCACAGCATGTAAAACTAAATATTAGGTATAACAATACTCTTGGTGGGACATCTGTCTATAAGTTCACCCCTATTGGTCCATCCTCATCTGCTGCTGTTCTACCCAAATCGTTTCCCACCTGCAGAGTTACAGGGTCCCAGCACAGCATATTTCGTGACTTGCTATGTTATGCCATCCTACCCTACAGTTCTTTCTGTGGGCGCTGTGTTTGCATCTTTATTTCACTGAAGAATTCTTGCTCATCCTTCAGGTCTTAGCCCAAGGGTTCTCTCTGGAGCCTTCCCTGATGCTCCCCAAATTGAATCCTTTGGTCCTCACAGGCCCAGTGTTAGGGTCTGTTGTGTATGGCACAGTAAGGCAATATTGGTAGACGTTTCTTCTGCTAAACCAGATCCTTTGAGGGTTGAGAGTATGTATTTTGTTTCTTTTTGTCTTCAGTGCATCTTTAGGACAGTGCTTACTTTGTAATAATCTTCTAATAAAGTTTTTTTAAAAAAATATTTTACTGATTTCAGATAAAGATCACAAAGACATTGCATTGGTGTCTTATTTCAATAAGAGTCATTTGTGTTAGGGAGTCTGCATATGTTCTATTCTCATTGGTATATTAAAACTTAAATGTAGGGAACCAGCAGTTAGCTAATGGCTATGTCGCTGGACTCCCACGTAGTTGACCGCCGTTCATGTCCCGGACCCGGTGGCTTAGAACTCACGCTTGGCGCGTGTGTGTGCGGGGCGTGTGTGCGTGCGTGCCCAAGATCCCGAGAAGAGAAGGGAGGAGAAGGGATTGCGGCGTGACCATCCCCCCTGGGGGGGGATTTCTCGCTTTCTGTCTCTATGTCTCTCTCTGTCTGGCGAGCGCACGCGCCCTATAGCGAAAATCCTCTTAAAAAAAAAACCAAAAACAAAAAACTTAAATGTGGGGGCCAGCAGGTGGCATTGTGGTTACCGCACTAGATTCCATATGACCAACCACCGTTGGAGTTCAGACCCAGTGGCTTGAAACTCACGCGAGGCAGGTGTGCATGTGTGCCCAAAATCCCAGCAGGAGAATGGTGGAAAAGGGATTGTGGTGTGATCATCTCCCTGGGAGTGATTTCTTTTTTTCTCTCTCTCTTTCTCTCTCTGTCTCTTGGTGAGCATATGTGCCCTATGACAAAAAAAAAAAAAAAAGGTAAATGTAATTTTTGATACATAGTATGACTTTCTAGATGGACAGATGTATTGCGGCAATTTTCAGAGATCTTTTGCATTTGTTGTTTATGATTCTTCTCTTAGAATTATGCCTATACAATGTGAAAAATTGCAACAAATAAAAATCAGTAAGAAATAATTATTTCAGTTGTTTCTCTGGAGAAGGGATATCAGCTGACAAAGCTAACCATATCATTTAGTTATTTTTACTTGAGAGATTTTTGCTGTAGGGCACATGTGCTTGACAGAGAGACAGAGAGACAGAAAGCAAGAAATCACCTCTGAGGGAATGGCCACGCCGCAATCCCTTCTCCTCCATTACCGTCTCTGGATTTTGGGGATGCATGCCACGTACCTGATGTGACTATCAAGCTGCCAGGTCCAGGACTTGAACTGCAGTTAGCCATGCGGTTATCCAGCAATGTAACCATTACACCATCTCCAGGTCTCCAGGATTCACTTTTTAAAATACTAACTTTACTTGTATTGCTTTTGAAAATGCATTTTTTGGGACCAACAGATGGCATAATATCTATGTTGCTGAACTCCCATGTAGTCGATTGCAGTTTGAATTCCAGACCAAGTGGCTTAAACTCACACCAGGCGTGTGTGCATGCATGCCCAAGATCCCAAGAGGAGAATGGAGGAGAAGGGATTGCAGTGTGGCCATCGACCCAGGGGGTGATTTCTCACTTTTTATCTCTCTGTCTCTCTCTTTCTGGCAAGTGCACATGCCCTATAGCAAAAACCTCTCCAAAAAATAAATAAAAGAATTATTTTTTAAATTCCATTTGTTGTTGTTATTTTTTAATTTGACTAGAGAGAGATAAGGAAGATGAGAAAGCAAGCCACCAGGTCCGGGACTTGAACCATGGTCAGTCATGTGGGAGTCCAGTGCCTTTAAATTCCACGCCACTTGCCAGCATCTTGCCTACCAGCTTGTTAAGTCAGAGAGTGACCTCATTATCACAGAGCTCCTATTTTCATATGAAGTCTTAGCTTTGTTGGTACATCAATACAGTTTTTTTTTTTTTAAGAATTATTTTATTTATTCATTAATTTATTTTAATTTGACCACAGAGAGAGAGAGAGAGGAAAAGTGAGAGCAAGACACCAGGTCTGGGACTCGAACCATGGTCGGCCATGTGCGAGTGTCCAGCACATTAACCATCATGCCACCCACTGGTCCTGACACCAATACAGTTTTAAAAGAATGTGTTGAGGGAATGCCATAGACAGGAGTTGAATGGCTAACCTTACCTGTGCTGTACTGACAGAAAGGATTAGTGTCTAAGCCTTGCTATAGAGGATATTTATGTTCTAAGTTGTTAACAGATATTGAGCCTTTCTTATGCACTAGACACTCTTTTAAGTACTTTGTGTACTCTCAACCCCATAAGGTAGGTGTCTTTATTAGCGCCATCTTACTGATGAGGAAGCTAAGGCATAGAAAGGCCCATTTACACAGCTAATAGCCAGGTTACAAAGCTTATAAGTGGTGGAGCCAGTGTTTGAACCCAAATGATTGGTTCTAGACCTGTGCTAAAGCATAGGGTTTTTTTTGAGAGAATATTAAAGTATATCCTAGCTTCTACACCAGAGTAAAAGTGCTTTATGGTAGGTGCTTGGTTTTTTGTTTTGTTTTGTTTTGTTTTCAAAGAGTTTTTAAAACAATTATTTGATTTAACTTTATTTATTTGCTTATTTATTTATTTAAATTTTTAATTTGACCAGAGAGAGAGGAAAATGAGAAAGCAAGCTGCCAGGTCCGGTACTTGAACTGTGGTCGACTATGTGGAAGTCCAGCACCCTTAACCATCACACCACCTGCTGGCCCCAGAAAGGCTTTGACTATAGGGCATGTGTGCTCTCCAGAGAGACAGAACGTGAGAAATCATCCCTTCCCCCCCAGGGAGAACGGCCACACTGCAATCCCTTCTCCATTCTCCTCTTGGGATCTTGGGCACTCACACACATGCAACCAGCTTGAGTTTTAAGCTGCTGGGTCCAGGACTCAGACCATGATCAACTACATGGGAGTCCAGTGATGTAATCATTATACTATCTGTTGGTCCCAAGGTGCTTGATTTTAGTTATATGCATACATAGCCTTACGGAAAGCCAGGACTTAATACGTGTTCGAGTAAGTGAATGAATGATAAGTAGTTGTCAGACATTGCATTCTGACTCCTTTCTGCAGGACAGGATATTTTTACATTGGAAGTAGTGTTCTAGAGAACTCACTGAATTTGGGAAGGCAAGGAGAGGAACCATGAGCACGTTTTATGGGACATCAGATATCTAGCCATTTTTATACTAAAAAGGCAACTGGAGTTAATCTTATGAATTAATTTGGCCCAATCTTTTGCCAGGGTAAGCATGTATCAACCAATAAATCAGACATGGACTCTGCCTGCCTCCCTAGAGCTTACAGCCAGCAAGCTAAACAGTGATAACCGCTTAGAATTTATTTGATCGTAATCACTATAAAGGAGAGAGAGGAATATATAACCTCAGGGAGTATATCACAGCCCTCATCGAGGGGCTGAGAAGACTCAGGTGTAAGGAGTGGTAAGGAGACGAGCATATGCCAGTCCTAAGGCAGGAAAGACTGAGGCACTCCCTGTGACCTAAATTAAGAGAGCCAGAGTGACGGAGTGCCACGGGCATGATGGGGAGGACACGAGATGAAGTTGATGCCCTTCTCTTAGGGGTCACACCCTGAGAAAATTGGAAGTAATAGGGAGAACAAGTTGGAAGGGGCAAGCAAGAATGGAAGCAGGGGAAACTGGTTAGGAGCCTGATGGAACGGACCAGGGATAAGTTGAGCGTGGTAAACTCTGAAGTGGTGATGATGAGGGTGGAGAGAAAGGGCTGGTCAGAGATTTAGGAGGTAAAATGAAAGGAAGCTGAAATGATTGCCATTGGTGGGAAGGAGGAAGAGCAAGGAATCAAGGGTGATGTGGGGTTTAGGCTTCAAATTATGAGAAAGGGATCAGCTGGTGGTACAGTGGCAATGCACTACGCAAGCTGGATCCTACATAGCAACCACAGTTTCCATTGGCCTGAAACATACAGGGGACAAATACCCAAGATCTGATGGGCAGGAGGACCAGAGGAAGGGGACTGCTGTGTGACCAGACCCTGTGGAGGGTGCTCTCCTCCCTTTCTCACTCGTGTCTGTGCATATGCATGCTCTCTATCACGAATAAAGAAAATAAGTTGGCCAGCACATAGCCTAGTGGCTAAGTGGCCTAGTGGATCCCACATAGTCAGCTGCATAGTTTGAGTCCTGGCCTCACAACTCGGGAAATGCACCAGGCACAGGTGTGTGTGCCCAAAATCCTGAAAGGAGAAATGAAAGAAAAGGGATTGAAGTGTGACCATCCCCCACAGGAGGTGCTTTCTCACTTTCCCTTTCACTCTTTCTCTGGCAAGCACATGCACACTTGAGCAAAACTTTTAA